GTCCGAAATTGCACAACCTAGCTCACCTGCAAATTCCCTTAGGTCCCTTTTGTTCACATTCACTCCCGCCACACAACTCTTATCAAAGTTTACCTTGAGGTTAGATATCTGCTCAAAGAGTTGTATTGTCAAATTTAGATTCCGGATCCAATTGAAGTTCCCTCCTTCACAGAAAAGGATAGTATCATTTGCAAACTGTAGAAGTGTTAAGGGAACCTCCTCCCTTCTTACTCTCCACCCTCTTATCAAATTCCTCAAGTCTGCTTTATGGATCAATCTCCCAAGCACATCAACAATCAGGGTGAAAAGAAATGGGGAAAGAGGATCTCCTTGTCTTAGACCTCTCAACGCAAGTCAACCACAGTCCCGTTCACCAGGATAGAATTATGACAAGTCCTAACACAGCCCCAGATCCACTTACACCACCTGTCTCCAAAACCAAAACTCCTCAACACCTCCATCAAGAAGACCAATCAACCAAGTCATAAGCCTTTTCCAAATTTAATTTGCAAACCACTCCCTTCTTCTTTGACTTTCTAAAGCTCTCCAATCTCTCATTTGCAATGAGAATCTGATCGGTGATCTGTCTTCCCTCCACAAAAGCACATTGGTTGGGTGCAATAATAGAGGGGAGCACCTTCTTTATCTTGAGAGATAACACCTTTGCAATGATTTTGTACAAGTTAGTCACCAGACTAATAGGTCTAAAATCCTTTGGTTGAGAAGCATCTTTCTTCTTTGGGACTAAAGCAATGAAAGTTGAGTTCAAGCCCGGGCTTATTACACCCCTCCCGTGGAACACCTCAAAAACTGGTCTAAGATCATTCTCCAAAATATCCCAACAATCCTGGTAAAAGGCCATTGTGAACCCATCTGGACCCGAAGCTTTTGTCCTATCAATTGAGAATACTGCTTCCTTTACCTCCTCCATATCAAACCTTTTTTCTAACCACTCTCTCTTCTTTGCACTTAAAGTCGGCTTATCCAATCCCTCCAACCACACTCTCCCATTCATAGGCCTTCTAAAAATAGATTTGAAGTGGTTTACTAGAGCCTTTGCAATTTCTGCCGGGTGGGACAACACTCCTCCATCAACTTCCAAATTAGAGATGAAATTCTTCTTTCTCCTCCCATTTGCCACTGAATGGAAAAACCTTGTGTTTCTGTCTCCCTCCTTTAGATTCTGAACAGAACTGATGCTAAGGTTCTGTTGTGCTAATACTAAACTACAAACGCCCTCTATGTATGTTCTATGGATGCAGTTTATGGGAGGAGTCTTACTTGCCATGGTTTTCCATTTCTGCTTACTCCCCATGCCATATCATTAATGGGGAAAGGTATATCCTTGGATTTGTCTTTTACCAGTGCTAATGATAATATATATATATTTTTGGCCAAGTAGCTGGGGCCTGGGGGTTGCCGGCAACTATGATTTCATGTATCTAATTTTTATGTTGATATACGCGTATCCGCTCATGCAAATTACTTTTTACATGTGCATTGAGTTCTTGTATATGTCAGGCCCAAAGAAAGTATTGTTGCACGTGCCAATAGAGATTTGGTTGCACGCTGTATAAACGTGCAAAATCTGATTATGTATGGAGTGTTTTATGTTTTTTCTATGAATTACTAGTGCTATCATTTACAGTGAAACTTTGTCTAATTTCCAGTGGAATTGATGAAACCGGACACTACTGTTATCCTGCGGAATGCAAAGATTGACATGTTCAAGGGTTCGATGAGGCTTGCTGTGGACAAATGGGGCCGTGTTGAAGTGACTGAACCTGCAAGCTTCACAGTGAAAGAAGTTAACAACCTTTCGCTGGTGGAATACGAGCTGGTGAATGTTGTTGAAGAGTAAATGAAAAAAACAGCTTGCTCCTCACTATCCCTGATTGGAATTTTAATGAAGCAAGATATGGATTTTGTGGTTTTTTGGTTGGCAAAGTGGAATGTCTGTTGTTTCCTGGGCATCTGGGTCCAAGTTATCCATGAAGATTCTCTTTTTAGGAAAAAAAAAATCTCGAAGCTACTACTAATTAAGGAAGTCAAATGATACCTAAGCAGCAGCTAAGGCAGCTGGTGGAACTTTCTGGAGATAACTTCAACACAGATGGTGCTTGCACTCAAAAGACTAAGATACAAGGCAGCTGCTTATAGAACTTGTTTTCAGTTGCTTCTTATTTTAGGACAGAAATTCCTTCTCGGGTAAGAGACAACATCTATTGAAATTGAATGTTTTCTCAAGTTTGATCCTAATTTTTTGCCATACTAGTCCACGCACAGGGGCTGCGCTACTATTACTCGAACCCCTTTTTTGTCTAAACTCTCACATGCTTCCTTTTATTTTCTGTATTACCGCCAGAAATATAATGATAATGATAAAATAATATATAAAAAATATTATTTGTTTAGCCTTTTTTTTTCTCTCTAGTTTATTTAACAAAAAAAATATTATTAAAGGTAATTTGTATGATGCCGGAAGAAACTTTTGACCAATTAGATCTCCCCGTTCTATTTTCATGAATACCAATTGATTGGTTATTAGGTTATTAGATATTACGTCTTTTCGGTATCATAGTTAAATAATACAAAATTTTATTACTAAACAAATTCTCAAAATTGGGCTGCAAACATTGAAATCTCTTGCTGCACTCCGTGTACTATACGAACTTTTACAAACAAGATTTTCTCACTATACCCTTGAAATTCAGCATGGCTAAGTGGCAAATAGAAAAGTAAATTTAAGCACATTTTTACGTTGCACTCCTATCGGTGCTTGTTGATATCCAATCATAAACAAGGTTCAAAGGGTGTATCGATTTCTATCGGTGCTTTTTTTATGTTTTATTTATTTTTTTCAAAATTGGTTCAAAGGGATTGGTTTAAGTCCTAGTTACCTTCTGAACCATGGTCTGACCTAATACAACCCCCATAGGGGCGTATTGGGATGCCATTGGCATGATACTCATCGGATGATACGGGCCAATATGTGTCAATACAACCCCCATAGGGGCGTATTGGGAATGATTTTATATGTTCCAACTTAATTAAAATAAATAACAGCCAAAAACCATTTAACGGGTTGACCGTTAGATTATCCGAATAAGAAAACATAGATCCAGAATAAACCAAGCCCCGATAAGATCCAATCCGGATTGGGCTTTCAGGTCTAAGCCGATAAGATCCAATTATATTTGATAACCTATAGTTTGGTATTTGACAATAAACCTATTAATTTTCTTTCTTTTTAATTTTTCAAACATCTTACGTATCCCCTATAAAATGATAATTTTATGGAAAAATACATGTTGCTGAAGCAAAAAGACTTGATAACTGAAGGGCTTTGACCAATCAAACCTTCAATTTGATAAATAACCACTACCACTTTTATAATATCAGTTGACTAATCACAAGATGTTTTTCCAATATCATAATTGAACCCTGATTTTAAATGTTTTATATGAATAAGTTATTACAGATAAATCCATGAGAAACATGTATAAAATGTTTTGTGTATTTTTATCACGTGTCATATATACCTCAATATGTAATCACTATGGATTGATGTTTTAAAAAACGACCTGGAACCATTCTAATTCAATGCAGCTTTGCATTAAATAAGCCAGCTCTAAGTAATTAAGTGGTAGTTAAGCCTATGAAACTCGATCTGATCATAAAAACTTTTCCACCTCTATCAGACTGGGTTTGATCCCAGATATAAATTAGGCTGCAAATAGTTAAGATTATTTCACGTATTATGGGCTGGATCTGGGCTTGGATTTGTATGGCCAATTTAGAACCGTTGAACCGGCCTGTCCATAGTTCACAATTCACATACAACCCGGCCAGCCCATTGACAAGCAGCAGCAACAACACGGTTCTTGCCTCTCGCCCTCCAAACTCGAATTTAGGGTTACACCACAAGGTTGGAGCTTCTGTAACTTGTAGGCTGCAGGGCAGTGAGGGAGAAACAAAGAAAAGGAAGATAGAAAAAAAATGGCTAGTAGCTGTGCTAGACGAACTCTTCTAAGCTCCTCTGCATCTGCAGCTACCATTCTAAATGGTTGCAGGTCATCGTCATCTTCACATATCGCTTCAGGGGCGACTAAGCTTGGGGGATTCGCTTCAACAAGGCCCACTTCTGCTCGTCTTTCTCGACATAAGCTTCCCTTATTCTCCAGGTTTATATTTTCATGCCATTGTTTTGTTTTTTTTTGTTTTTTATAAATTTACAAGTCTAATTTCGGTATTGATTGGTAGACAGTTGTTAAAAATCCTACATACCCATTTGAAATCAGTGGAATATTTAATGCTT